TATCTGGCTGTAAGAATTATATGGGAGTTTCAAGGACGCATCAGATTCATGAATTTATTTCGTTCAAGTCATCACTTTTTTCAATTTAAGATAATGGAATCCTACTCTTTGCATTTTTTTTAGTTCTACGCGCTAAAATATGGCCTAATTAGCCAACCTTAAACGAAAATAAGGTCGAGACTTGATAGACGAAATCAACTGCTACTGTGCATGTGCAGTGAGGCATCAATGCACTAAACAATTATAACAAAAATTAATTATACTAATATAAATACTACTGATCTTAATCGGCCATGATATTTGTTCACTGACATTCAAATTCTCTATTTCATATTGAGCCTATTTTTACATCGTCGTTGCTGGCTCTACGGCCAACCCAAGTACATTAAAAATAGGCAGACAGATTGCGGGTGCGTTAATTTCAGACGGCTCTTATGAAGGTCATCAATTTTCTATCTTCTCACCGTGTCCCAGAGAACCGAATTATTCTATTATTATTATTGTATTATATCCCCTAAATTCGATCTTACCACGTTTTATAATTATATAATTGGGTTCGATCAAGCTCGAGAAACTATTGAGATGTAAAAAAACTAAAGTTTTTTTTCAAATTTTGATCATTGCATCGCGGTAAACTGTATAATGAGCAACTCAAATCTGCCAGGACAAGAAGTGATCATGCAGGATCTTTTGGCACGCTAAGATAGTAAAATATATAAAGAATTCAACTTTTGGATTTATTAATATACGTAGGATACTTGGATGCTTGAGCATAGAGCAGAACATGGCATCGCAATTCTTTGGATTCAATCAAAAGCTCAGTGAACTCCAGCTGCAGAGAAGGCAGGAGGAGTGACCAGGCAAGAACGGGAGGCCAGCTTCAGAAAATATTCGTAGGTGAGTCAATGCACGGAGGCCGTTGCACCGAGGAGGTGGAAGGCGCAGTGCGGGTGAGATGGAAGCAGGGGGTGGATTAGTTCAGACCAAAGCCACTTTGTCGCCACGTGAAAGACTAATCCGCCGAGTACACAAGCCTCTAACAATGACAGCAGAAAATGAGACGTGATCTCGCACTGCAAGTCGCGCCGACGGAAAGAGCAAATGCAGTTGAGGAAGTCGAGTCAGGATAGTGTTGCCCTTCAGCCACAACAAGCCAAATGACATCCTACATCGGGAATTGTTTTTGCTTTAAGCGCGTTTTTAAACGCTTTAAATGCTTTTGCTTTTATCTGATTAAGGAATGAATGAAATATGAACGTTTGATTAAGAATGAATGAAATCTTCCGCACCGTATTTTAGCTCTCATTTCCAAACCGTACTCAGGCGACCTTTGATTGTGTTTGATTTGCCCTAAAATACGGAAGGGAAATTCTAATCAAGCTGTTATTAGCTGTTATTAGCCATAGTTTAAGAGTATTGTTGATATGGCAGCTTTATTTAAATATAAACCTCAACATTATCATAGAAATAGAGTTCTTCTTATTAGTGTAGAGTAATACTCGATATTAGCTTGAGTAATTCGTGAAAAATTCACTCATTCTGAACAAACTTGGTGAAGTCGCACTTCGATCTCCGTCGCCCAGAGTCAGTCGCGGATGCGCCTTCCGCTGTAAGGGAACTGCCGTTACCGGAGACGTTCGTCGCATCGACACCTGCAGAGGTGACTCCAATCGGCCCCTGCAGAGGTGACTCCAATCGATCCCTGCAGAGGTGACTCCAATCGGCCCCTGCAGAGGTGACTCCAATCGATCCCTGCAGAGGTGACTCCAATCGGCCTCTACAGAGGTGACTCCAATCGGCCCCTGCAGAGGTGACTCCAATCGGCCCCTGCAGAGGTGACTCCAATCGATCCCTGCAGAGGTGACTCCAATCGGCCCCTGCAGAGGTGACTCAAAGGGAATGTCGCCGTTCGTTACAAAGATCGATTGCTCATTAGATTGCTCACACGAACTCCAAAATAAATTATGAATATTGCAGTTAAATATCAACTATGTTGGTGATTAACCTAAAATAACTCGATAATGACAAAGGAAATTCACTTGAACACTCACGCACGCTGTTTACTTCGAGTTACAGATCCTTGCAACATGTCAGTGTCAGAGCGACCTGTAAAACTGTTAATAATTTAACCATAAATAACTGGGGCCCTGATGATGGTGCGGATAAGTCGTCCCTCCGCATCGCGTTGATGCAAACAAGCCTTGCAGATCCTAAGCTCTGCAATGCTTCGTATGCTTGAGTAGGGATTTTGACGCGTGAAGACATCTTAACTCGGAACATGGAGAACGAATTGTCATGATCAAGCATTTAAGTTTATTTGTGTTTTTTTTAGAAGCTAACTTAATTTGTAAGAAAACCAACGCATTGGCTATGCACAGTGCAACAATATTTCTCAATATTATCTGACGCCAGGCAAAAATAACCAAGTTGATGAACAGACGACACCTGCGTCGGCGCAAGCAAATGCAGACATGCATTGCTTTCTAGACGCGTCCGTGACTGAGAGGAAATCAAATCGCGGGTTACGATTAAACGAAGAAGCTTTCACAGTCACGAACGATGATCGAGCGATACACCTCGGTGTTGCTGCGGTCGTGCAGCCGCTGCTGCTTCGCTTTATCGGCCGCTGTAACAATATTTTCTTCTTCTGAGTTTACCGAAGATCAAAGATTCGTCGCATAGGCGCAGTTAAAGTTGCTTGTTGCAAGAACAGCCATTGACGATGGTATAAGACACTGATATATTTGAAGCACCGCTCTGATGCAACTATAGTAGATTATTCTGCGAGAACAATGGGCACGTGAAACAATATCAATTGATCGGGAAAATACTGGCGGCGCGAGTTGTCACGGAAGTTGCTTCAGCGCCATGCCGTCGACCGCAGCAGCCACAACAGGAACCACGCAACGGTTCTCAGGGGCACCTGACCTGACACGGAGGTTCCTAAACCCAACACTGATGGAAATAAGTGGGACGGTCTAAATTGTGTCGCACTTTCGTTCTTGTGTGAGTCATAATGACGCAGTTGGGTGCAGCAAAAGGCTGTATTCGTGCTACCTGCAGAAATAATGTCAGTATTTGGACAGTTTGAGTCATTAGTTATTTTCAGTGCACTGCTGGTTGAGAAGCTCGAGGTAAATCCTACATCAGCCAATGGGCGAATGAAGAAAATTATGAAGATATTCTCCTGCAGGCCAAGTGTTATTATATATATTGATAACCATGTTTTTTCAAATCACATTAAGATATGATACTGCCAAGGGAAAATCGGACCGAAGTTAAAGCTCGGCTAAATTACATTCTCGTTGTAAATTAAATACTTTGCTGCAGTATCACATATAAAGTGGCTATCTACAAATTTTCTCCTCAATTATAGAACAAGTATATACTTCTATCCATCGAAGGGCAAAAAAGGAACTCATTTTAATTTTCCATCCAACAACTCCGTCTGCAAATGGTCAATTGAAACCCTCGCGAAGATGTGTGACTTCAATGCATCATTTCTTCATAGCTTTTCCCCAGCCAGTTTGTTTCAGGCACAGAAAGCGACCATTCATCAAGCCACCGCGGGCTAATTAATGTACAGGCAAGTACAGCTACATGCCAAGGGCATCGAAATTAGTGAAAGACTGCGAGGAGTCTATTGTCATTGTTCATATACATGATCCAGATGATAATTGATGTTCGTATACATAATTCATATGATAATTTAATCAAGAAAATGAGCAGAACACAACTCGGAGGGTTTTGCTGATGCATGAATTAAGCAATTCTTTATTTACAAAATGGCCAAGAACTTTAGAGTGTAAAATAAATTTAAGTAAACCAAAAATTTGACACACACTGCAGGCTGGAGTTGGATTTTTGTATCCCATAAAAATTAAGAGACGAGTTAACATTTGATATTTTCAGGAAAAGTAATCATACCAGGAACAAAGATAGGAATTTGCGTCCTAACCTAATTTGAACGTTCCCTCACTTTCCGACAAGAGCCGTGCGCTTTTCCCCATAGACCATGTAGGTACTATAACAACTAAATTCGAAGTAATGTAATATTATAATATAGTATAGTATCTTCGGCATTGAAGAATAGGCCTGGATAGGNTTGTTAAAGACAACCTGTTACGCGGAGCATTCAGACGGTTGTAGAATTTTCTCCCAACGACTATCTAGTCTTAGTAAAATCATTAATAGTACATTGTTCGAACGAAGGTATCAACTATAATGAAGCCTACATCATACCTTCTAAATACCTGCATCATACCTTCCCAAGCACACACAGAGCTGTAGCCTCACTGAGCGACGACCTACCAGACATCTGACGTTGAATCAATGTTAATTAAACATTGTTTCAACGTTTATTGCTTGGTAGAGAGTCACCTCTACAGCACAATTATATTAAGGCTTTCCCAGCGTCTGGTAAATCATTGCATTCCCTGATATTCGCCATCACTAATCTTCAATTAAATTTTAACAGGCTTGAAATTATTAAGCCTTATTTTCGACCATTTTGTGTCACCAACCTACTTTTGGAGACTATTATTATTAATACTACTTTCTCAATAATATATAAAGAAAGTTTTCCGGTACCCTAATAACCCCTGAAATAATTTTGGATCTTGTAAAAATTACTTTCCAGTGAAATAAATAAAAATAAATAAACTAAACATTGTTCAGAGTGGGCGACACCAATTGTTGCACAGTACGTAATTGCAAATGTTGGATGCAATTAGTTTAAATAACAAAGAAACTTGCGTATTTACGAGCAATAATGAATATAATCATCACTCCTACATTGGCTTTTAATAATGCCCGCTGGATCACCGGCAGCTCGGAGCTCGACCGTGTAAGACAATGAAGGTCTGAAACGAACGCCGGAAACATCAAGTATTCATCGATCTAAGTTTATTAACAACAAACTTGCGACGCCTCAATACTAATTAAACATCGTTAGCTGAACGAACGGTATTATAATATATTTAAATAAGAATATCACTCACCAAGGCCTAAGACGGACACTAACACAAATGTTATAGCGAAAGCTCTCATGGTGATGTCGTCACTTCGGCTTGCAATTCACCAATGAGCCGCCACCAGCGCACCACCCTCTTATATAAGCTCACCCCCTTCCTTCCAGCCGTGCCTGGGAATCGTGTTCACCCATCGCATTCTGCATGCACAAAGACTCATTGCATGGAACGTTTTCCACAACTCGAACACTGCACCTTACTTGGACCATACATTCATCATTCCACATTCATGTATCAAGTAAGTTTTTAACAGTAGAAAGAGCTACCATGAAACATTCCCGACTACAGGTATGGAAAATAATCGGGAAAAGCCCTTCGAGGAATATTCTTTCCAGACACCAGCCACGACTGTTGAACTATGCGCGGCCAAGCACACAACGGGTTTTAGTTAAGACTGAATTGCGCCAGCGATTTTTAATTCGCTTGTCCCGGTATTTAAAGTAAACTAATGGGTATTAAAACTGGCATACAGATTTAAACAAAAATATTTCTGCATGTTATTAAGAAATACATCTTGGTCAAACCATCTTCAAAAAAATGGATTTCAGGTCTAGGATTAACAATGAAACTTATACGCAGCAAATTTTGAGAATCTCGTGCCAACACGAAGTCTTGGTAAAATTTTTGTCTTGATGAAAAAATTTCCATTTCTGAAATTTGTTTTCTGTTGATGAAAACATTTTGACGTAAAAAAATTTGAAGCTAAAATTTTTGTTGATGAAAAAATTTCCCTGAATTAATTATCTTCAAGTCTAAATGAAACTTTGGGATCATTATCAACAAATGAGAATAACTGAGGTAACAAGGAATAAGTGTAGGAGTATTTTTCATTATTATATTCTCTCAAATCGAATATGGAAATAAAAACCAGAGGGAAAAGAAATCTTGGCAATCGTAGGGGTTACTTTTAATATATTCCTGTAAAAAAACGGCTCCACAGAATTTTCTATAAATTTGCCTTGTGTGCTTATTATACAGCGCCGATTTGAAGAAAAAACTAATCTCTAGTTGTTTTCCACAGAAAACGACAAAAAAATAAAATAGTTTCAAAGGCATATCACAAGAACCCCTCTCTCGCCAAGACCACTTTATCCTTCAGCCCTTTTCTCCACGCCTGAGATGAAGTGTGACCGCGGGATAATTTTCTTCCCCACCGACCGAAGGAATTGATTCATTACGACGCAGGTTTTCTCCTGCCGTACATTTCGTGAGACGCCGCGTTTTCTCCGTTGCGTTATCGGGCGATACGTCGTGACGTCGCGGTTTGCTGCACCGCGGACTCCCGCGACGCACGCGCGTCTTACGTGCATCACGCACACGTGCAGGGTGGTGCAGTGTCACGCACACGTGCAGGGTTGTGCAGTGTCACGTTGGTTGAATGCCATCGAGTATCAGTAGCACAATAAAAGCTCGAGTTTGGTCAGATCCGCATAAAAAAATATAACAGATGAAATTAGCGATATTTCGAGATTGAAGACATGTCAGAAGAGCAATACGGTTACTAAGAATCATATAGTTTGTTTCATTTTACGTACGTGCATTGAACGGGCATATGAAAGAATAAATTTCATCTATAAAAATCGTGATGTACTCCATTTTGGACAGGACTCTCCTGATTTATGTCTTATATAACAAGGCGTAGAATGTGGATACAATATCCAGTAAAAATATTTACTGTAGAGTGTAGATTTCAGAGGAAATTCAAGGGCATGGAAGAAAAGCGCAAGCGAGGATCGGGCGATTGGCTATCCTGCCAACAACACTCGCTATGTGGTCGTGGTGAGGTCGTTCATACACCACTATACCACAGATGGCTTAACACGGTTGGCCACCGGCCGTGATTACGTCCATGACACGTGGCTGGCTTGACTACTACACAAGTCATCCGTGCGGTCTTGTAATACACACCTCAAGTGTTCAATTTGTGCCATTGACTACACTGCAACCATCCCGCAATTCTCTACACCGCATCATACCCACGGTATTCCAGCAACTGCCTATTTATCGTTTTATAGTTTGTTGAATTAATGAACTCTTTTATAAGATGAAGACGTGTGTCCTGGGGACGTGTGTGATGGGACACACGTGATGGGGAGTAAATTAACCATAGTTCCTTCAATTGGATCATTTATTAACAAACTAAAAAAAACAGCAGCTCATGGAACATGAGAATCCAGCGGCTGTGGCAGCTATTTTGAATTTTATTTAAGTGAACAATGCCTTAAGCGGGACTTGTCCTATGTCACATTCTACAGACTTGGCGCCGTACATCCCTTAACGATGTAACGACTCAAGAAGCCCTCATCGTTACGTGCCAGAATACCGTAACATAATCGTAATCGAGATGCGTGCTCGCTCTGTTCTCCCTAACAGTTCATCATAACATGATCATGAAATTGAAGTACGAAAATGTCAAGGTAATTGAGATAATTGGGATGATAATTAGCTGAAGAGTAGGTCCTGCTACTCCAGCTAACCTTGTAGCTGCGTCACCTCGCCTTCCTTCACTCCGCCGCTCACCTTGGGCAGGGCGACCCTTCCTTGGCACCCGGGCGAGGGCTGAGCAGTTACATTGAGGTACTAGGAATGGGCTGCCAGAAATAATTTATTGTCAGAAAATTACAACTAAATAGTTTTCTCCTGCCGTACATTTCGTGAGACGCCGCGTTTTCTCCGTTGCGTTATCGGGCGATACGTCGTGACGTCGCGGTTTGCTGCACCGCGGACTCCCGCGACGCACGCGCGTCTTACGTGCATCACGCACACGTGCAGGGTGGTGCAGTGTCACGCACACGTGCAGGGTTGTGCAGTGTCACGTTGGTTGAATGCCATCGAGTATCAGTAGCACAATAAAAGCTCGAGTTTGGTCAGATCCGCATAAAAAAATATAACAGATGAAATTAGCGATATTTCGAGATTGAAGACATGTCAGAAGAGCAATACGGTTACTAAGAATCATATAGTTTGTTTCATTTTACGTACGTGCATTGAACGGGCATATGAAAGAATAAATTTCATCTATAAAAATCGTGATGTACTCCATTTTGGACAGGACTCTCCTGATTTATGTCTTATATAACAAGGCGTAGAATGTGGATACAATATCCAGTAAAAATATCTACTGTAGAGTGTAGATTTCAGAGGAAATTCAAGGGCATGGAAGAAAAGCGCAAGCGAGGATCGGGCGATTGGCTATCCTGCCAACAACACTCGCTATGTGGTCGTGGTGAGGTCGTTCATACACCACTATACCACAGATGGCTTAACACGGTTGGCCACCGGCCGTGATTACGTCCATGACACGTGGCTGGCTTGACTACTACACAAGTCTTCCATGCAGTCTTGTAGTACACACCTTAAGTGTTCAATTTGTGCCATTGACTACACTGCAACCATCCCGCAATTCTCTACACCGCATCATACCCACGGTATTCCAGCAACTGCCTATTTATCGTTTTATAGTTTGTTGAATTAATGAACTCTTTTATAAGATGAAGACGTGTGTCCTGGGGACGTGTGTGATGGGACACACGTGATGGGGAGTAAATTAGCCATAGATCCTTCAATGGGATCATTTATTAACAAACTAAAAAAACAGCAGCTCATGGAACATGAGAATCCAGCGGCTGTGGCAGCTATTTTGAATTTTATTTAAGTGAACAATGCCTTAAGCGGGACTTGTCCTATGTCACATTCTACAGACTTGGCGCCGTACATCCCTTAACGATGTAACGACTCAAGAAGCCCTCATCGTTACGTGCCAGAATACCGTAACATAATCGTAATCGAGATGCGTGCTCGCTCTGTTCTCCCTAACAGTTCATCATAACATGATCATGAAATTGAAGTACGAAAATGTCAAGGTAATTGAGATAATTGGGATGATAATTAGCTGAAGAGTAGGTCCTGCTACTCCAGCTAACCTTGTAGCTGCGTCACCTCGCCTTCCTTCACTCCGCCGCTCACCTTGGGCAGGGCGACCCTTCCTTGGCACCCGGGCGAGGGCTGAGCAGTTACATTGAGGTACTAGGAATGGGCTGCCAGAAATAATTTATTGTCAGAAAATTACAACTAAATGAACGACTACCGAAAAAACATGAACGAAAGCATTTAAAAATAGCTCACAAATGTAAACATACGCGGATAACAGCAGGTCAAAAATTTAATAATTGATGTATTTCCATTATTGCAATATTTCTTGAAATTTAAACTTGAAAATATACCCAATGCTTCCATGAGTTTGAAAATTGGCTTGAATCAATGCATTTTCTAAATCTTCAGTTGAATGTTAATCTATCCAAAATTGTACTATAAATTACATTAAATTTCTATTGCTGTTATAAATGACTGGACGTGTTTACAGCGCATGATGGTACGAGCTCTTAGATGTGATCAACACATTATACGGCGATGAACGTCCGCCCAGGTCACAGAGTTCCCAGCAATGGCGGCGTCTTCGTGATGCGAACGTGGAGCGTAGCGGTGACTCGCACGTCGTTCAGCTCTGGTATACATGAGACTTGCAGTAGTACAAGCAGCGTCTTACGTAGTGCGCAATTACTGCTTTTTAATTAGAGTTAGACGTAACTCCAAATCATGGCTCCCATCGTTGATCGGTGACGAGCCTTACCATCATCACAGGATGAATATAATCAGGACTAAAACACCCCAAAATTTTTTATCGCTGAGGAAAACCTATTTGATGATTCGTTTCATTCAAAAGCCATTCCACAAAACGGTATTGTGTTGGACACATGTGCTCATGCATATGTCAATTCGAGAGCTTCAGCTTTTTCATGCCAACGATCAGAAAGCACGCCATAGTTAAAAATGTCAGCCCAAATTAGGGCCCAAATGAGTTGGAACGATCTTCATACTAATTAATTTCATATGATACAAAATTTTAACGGCGCATTTTGCGTGACTTTTATCTGTTACTTGCGACGACGTCCGTCAAAATGTGCACGCTGAATATTTTGATATTTATGAACAACTGCCCAAGATTTTCTGTCTTGGCGAGGAAACATCGATTTACGGTTGAGATCTGTGATATTTTTATAAATAATGTTTGAATTTGAACTTCAATCAAGAGATAGATTCCTAATAATCGTAAATGTATTAACTTGGCAGCAACCAATTATAGTGTTGTAATGCAAACGACTACACACGGTTAAGTCAGACAAATTTTCATAATAAATATTTGATATAACAGTTTATTTATATTTTGACTGGAGAAAGGCATATTGACAAGTTATAAATTATTCATGTTTTTGCGGCTTTGGATGGGAAAATAAATCGAAGGAACCTAGTACGGTAAGCAACACATAAAATAAGGTCAAGCTTTTTCTTTATATTTCAAATACCAACAAATTATTGGTTAATTAAACTATTGTTAAGCTTCTCCAAAACATAACATTTCAGACGTGAGAATTTGAGGTGGTCAACTGTTTCTCTCCAATGGTCACAATGTAGCGTATTGAATGGAACCAATACTGCGGTGACAGCTCCCTCTCCCTCGTCCCTCCTAGGCTCATGAATGATTGCTCATCGCAGTGCACTGTGTCAACAAACCGCACCTGACCTTTCCTTGTATTGTTAATCACAGCTATACAAATCAATATTGCTTCTATTTGCAATGTATTGTGTGTATAGTCGAAAAATTACTTATTTATGAATTTTCAACCAATCATAGGGCTGATTTTTATTTTAATTGTATGAAATTGGTAAGACATTCGATTATTCGAATGCAATGAATTGCAACTTTGCAAGTAGGCTACCTAACCTAGTAACCTACGTAGGGTAGTTGCAATTTGCATTAGCCTACTTTTAGATGATTACTGAAAAATTGGGACAGTTGTCCCACATGGCAGACATGGGATTGGGACATAAGGGGGGGGAATTGAGACAGTTGTCCCACATTTCGTAGAAATGTAGCAGCAAAACTAATCAACATAGGTAGGTTGCTAAAAAGCTTTAAAATAGTGGCATAAAGTTCAACATTTTTACTATCTAGCTATCAGTATCAAATATCAATGTAGCCTAGCTGCCCTAGCATAAACTGATAAAGAAAGTTAAGAAATCGTACATTTACAGATTTACTAGGTCTAGTACCACTAGAAAATGAAAATCCATGAAAAAATTGTGAAAATTGAGATTTTGGAAAAGTTCCTCTGCTAAGATCTGAGCAAAAAAAAAGAAAAAATACTGTACTATAATTTTACACATAGGCTAGGGCTGCTAGGCTAGCTAAGTTTCAAAGTTTGCACTGTTGCACACATGTGGTGCTTAAAAATGTGAATGATATGAATTTGCATGTCTCATTCTAAAAAAAATTGCAGCCATTTTTTGCACAAGGTGTGACAAGGGAAAGGGACACCCCTAAAAATGCATTTACAGAAGAGCCTTAATTAGCAAATGCTCCTGATAATGAAAAAAATCAATTAACAATAAAAAATTTGATAGGTACATTTACCTCACTCAAGTCTCAAGTGATTTGAAGCATGCAGAGTGTACTCACTACTCATGATAACTCATCCATTACTAACAGTACTCTGAAGTCTTCCTCTTTTAGTGTAGATAATGTAGATGTAAAATAAATAACATTTTCTGTGATTTTTACTTGTTTTTCTTTTATTGATATGATATTACCATATTCAATTATTCATTAATTACTGTATTATTAATGTGACATTACTGTATCCATCAACATGCCATTGAGCATTGACAATGACCTTGTCCACTGCAAGCTTCATATCAGCAGCCATGTAGCACTTCTTCTGTATCTGTAAGCTTACAGGATGGTTTGTAATTTCGCACAATTTTAATTGAGTCTAGTGATTTCACTATAACAAAAAAGATTGTGAAAAACATACCTGAAACAGAAAATAAAGTTTTAGTGACAACCATTATATGTTTTGAAGAAATAAATCATAGTTTAGGTCAATTACTTTTCATTCTATGATGCCTGGTGCACAATTCTATGTATTGCATTCTATATACAATTTTGTGACGACAGATAATGCCCTAATTTTTCGATAAGTGAATATTTTTCATTGAGCGAGGTAAATGTATTCAAAATTCTTTGTTGTTAATCTATTTTTTGGTTAACTGGAACCTTTGCTAACTGAGGTTCTACTGTAAATGCATTTTTAAGGGTGTCCCTAAATCATAATTACCCTGAGGGGTGTCTCGAGTAGCCAAGCCATGCGGAAATGGCTGCCATTTTTTTTCGAATGAGATAGGCAAATTCTGTCAATTATGTTTTCAAGCCAACACCTGGGTGCAACTTTTATGTAAGTACAATTTTTTAATATGGCAAATATTTTTTTTTGCTTCAGACCTTAGCAGAAGTTCCAAAATCGCACTTTTTACACTTTTTTTCAGCGATTTTTAGAGACAGTAAATGTTTGATTTTTTTTAATAGCTTTATACATAATAGATAGTAAAAATGTTAAAGTTTACGCCACTATTTTTAGTTTTGCAATATTTTGATTAGTTTAGCTGCTACAACATTTCTACGAAATGTGGGACTCGTGTCCCTATTTACCCCGCCCGTCCCTTTTTACCCTGTTTGACGGTATTAGTATTGCATTTGTACGTTATCTCATGGTACTTTAAAAACCATTAACAATTTTTCTAAGGTTAGATTTTTTGGTATAGGGTTTCTTTCTTAAATGTCACAACCATCAAATTAATTGACAAAATGGTTAAGGGCCATTTAAATAATCTATATCTTATTCACTGGTTGTTTCTGCCCTATTTTAAAGTTGGAGAATCTTGAGCAAAATTTGCAAAAATCATGGATGAAAAAAATCATTAAATAATAACTATATAAATCATAATTTATATAGTTGAACTTGAGCAGGGCCAGTCTAGTCTGTCTTAAACACGGCTAAAGAAAATTATATAATGCCAGTTTTATTTCTGTAAGACAATGTTACATGTTGTGCAGATAAAAATCACTATTCAAATATATCTACATTGCAGTCAGTTTTGTTTTTGGTCTTTGCAAACCATTTTGAGATTGATGTTCATAATATAATTTTTTGAGAAATTGGCAAGAACAAGCCAGCTTCTTCACAACATTTATAATGATACCTCAATATGGCATCATGCTGATTTCTAATCACTGCCTTGCAATATGGCTCACTGACCTTGCAATCATATGGTTTCAATTGAATTAGCAGTCCTGTCATGATTGTCTCTATTAAAAAATAATGGTGCCGTTGGTGCGATATACTTGAATTAGCATTGTAAGTAAGGTTATGCATGCCAATGATGTAGTGAAACTAAATCAATTATTTTAGTATAAATATTGAAATTATTATTCCGTTTTCCAGTTGGGAGCTTTCTGTGTGATTAAATTAAGTAAGTATGTTTGATTTATTTGTGTTAGTGAATAGAAATACATTCCAGTTGTTGTTTTAATATTAAAAAACATTTCATTGATGAGTTATTCTCTGTGATGCCAGAACAATGTGATGGTTCAGTATACAGAAGGCAGTATGAAGAAGGGTGGAGGAGGAGGCTGTAGTGGCAGTAGTGCTGAAAATGTTAAAGTGGTTGTCAGATGTCGCCCCATGAATGAGCAGGAGACCTCTGATGGAAACACACGGTAAATTGCCTGCAGTTGATTTGCATTTTTGCATTATTTATTAGTCTGTGAAACATGTCATGATAAAATGTATGTACACATTCTTATTGTATAGAAAATTCTGAGCAGGTATCTTAATTCTCACATGTCAATTATATATACCTACCTATATAATTGTATATACCTATATACCATATGGTAATTGTTTGCTATCATTTTTATTACAATAATTTATGCCTTTAAGTCTGACTGGTGAATAAAAAAATACAGAATAGATTTGCCAACTCATATTATTTCAAAAATTCAAAATAACGGTCAGAGTTGTCTACTTGTTTCAGTATGAATTTCATGAAATGTTATTTTTTCTTGGATTGCAGGGTTGTTGAGATGGATGTCCCCAGAGGAGTGGTGGAGGTGCGCAGTGCCAAAGCCCTTGCCACAGATCCCCCAAAGGCTTTCACCTTTGATGCCGTCTATGATTGGAAGTGAGCCTCACTATTCCTTGATGTTTGCTACAGATGAAAGTTCTCTTAAACTGTACAAGGATAGAAGGTTTCGGCTCTTGGTGACAGCAGCATTTTGAGGATTGCTATGAATTTGTCACAATAAAAATTCCATAAGTTTTATATTAGAAAGCTTCTTACAGTCCATGACAATGTCTGAATGTGAACATGGACAACTCATCTGTTATACCTATATTGTTCTGTTCAAACATAAGTTTCAAAGCTACATTCTGCAGGAATATCATTGGTAAAGTTTAAGTTGGATTAAAGAAGTTAATAGTTGAGCTATTCGTTTCCAATTTAATTTTGCATGTAGGTTTGGCTCATTCATTATATATAATTTGTTTTATCCCTGCTAAATTTCATAATAATTTTTCTATAAACTGTTATACCCTTTTTAAGTGTACTGTGAAGGGCTTTCAACTGGAGCTGATCTCTCAAAAAAAACCTCATTTGCAGCTCCAAACAAGAAGAGCTTTATGATGAAACCTTTCGGCCCCTCATTGACTCTGTCCTCATGGGCTTCAATGGGACCATTTTTGCCTATGGCCAGACTGGGACTGGCAAGACTTACACAATGGAAGGTTCGTTCTGTATTCTTTGAGATTTTTATTTCATCTCCAAGTTGTTGAAAAATAAGGTAATAATGTAATGGTAATAAATTATTACAGAATAAATTACACCATTTAATGGACTGAGGATGCATATATAAATGGTTTGTTATGTTTTATTATGTTAGAATAATTCTTTCTTATCTTTTGTAGACTAAGGGCACTCAGTTTAAAGGTTAATAATTTAACATTGATAATTTTTTATACTTATAGATTGAGGATAGTGTTCTTGACCAATTGACCATGCTGAACAGTTTGTATATTGCACATTGCTTTAAAGACTGCCAATGGCTACAGTAGACCATGATCTGACATGTTCAAAAATAATCAATTAGAGTATATTGCAGGTAGCAATTTGGAGAAGAGAAGAAGATTAAGAAATCAAGAGAGTCGTTTGCTAAAAATTGTATAGCCAAAATTAAATTTGATCAAAGTAACAGCTTATGAGACGCTAGCAGCATATCAACAGAATGAATGCTTCAGTCAGTGCCAGAAGCCATCACTTATGAGAGTGAGACTATGTGAATGGACTGCACTATTGCAAGTTTCTGAAATGGAACTATTAGATACTACACTTTTTTTGAGTGTACATTTGAATTAAAAGAAGTATTTATAATTACCTACTTGTATGTGGTGAAGGATGCTACTGCATGTAGTGCCTCTAAAAAGTCTTGCATTTGGATGGACTTCTGGTAGGAGAATTTTTACAGAATAGTGGTGGGTCTTGAAAGAACTAAGGAAATATTGTGCACTGACGTCACCATAATTCAGCCTTCACGACGAGATTATGTATACTAGACTAGTTCTACTGCAGTGTCTTATGTTTGCGTACCTCCTATGACGGCCCGTTCTGCTGCAGGTCTCCCAGACGTGCCAGAGCAGCGCGGCGTGATCCCGAACTCCTTTCACCACATCTTCAGCCACATCGCCAGGAGCACCAACCAGCAGTTCCTCATCAGGGCTTCCTACCTCGAAATTTATCAAGAAGAAATCAGGTTGGTTGTGATATGCAGTAATATGTTTAGAATATCTAGCTGTATTGTTGTTAATAATACAATGCTTCCAGCATTTACCTGCGATTATGAATGTTATAGTGATAGAATTCAAAATTTTACTAAATCCTAAAGTTAACAACTTAATTTTGGTTTGGTACACTCCATCACAAAGACAAGAAATTGAAAACTTGTACAATTGAAAAGTGTCTGACAGATATTTTCTTGCAGAGATTTGCTGGTGAAAGAGCACAAGAAGAAGCACCTGGAACTGAAGGAGAGGCCCGACACGGGCGTCTATGTCAAGGACCTGCAGCAGTTTGTGTGCAAGAGCATCACTGAGATCCAGCACGTCATGCACGTCGGCAACCAGAACCGGGCTGTCGGGTGGGTCTAGAGGGGTGAGACTGTTGGGTAGGTGGGTCTAGAGGGGTGAGGCTGTCGGGTGGGTGGGTCTAGAGCAGTGGTTCCCAAACTTTTTCCGGCTGGCGCCCCCTTTGGCTCCCTAGTGAATTTCTAGCGCCCCCCACAGACACAAATAAACTCATGCGCCTCTTTCTATAAAATTTAGTACGCTGCTATTTTAAAAGATAAAGGTTAAACACAAATGTGTATTTCACAAATAAAACCCCTTTTAGTGAACCAATATGTTTTTCAGCTGTTGTNCTCTACCTCGAGGGTGCGATTTGAACGGCTGTTAACCTGTCTCTTATACACATCTAGATGTGTATAAGAGACAGGTATTAACAGGGCTATTGGGTGTGTAGGCTTGCATTACCAGAGAATATTGCAACACCAAAATACTTGACATATGCTGAGAAAAATCCGTTATTTTGTTTCTATCAGCGGTTCCATGTGCACAAGTTTTAGATACTTGACTACAAGCACGTTTACTGGAGTCAACCAAGACGCCTGAGCTGTCCACCACTCGCACGTCTTCAAACGTCATTCGAGAGCTCTAGCCTCCCCTGACATGTTCCCACAGAGCGACGAACATGAACGTGCACAGCTCTAGCCTCCCCTGACATGTTCCCACAGAGCGACGAACATGAACGTGCACAGCTCTAGCCTCCCCTGACATGTTCCCACAGAGCAACGAACATGAANGCGTGGGTAGCGTGTACGTAAGCGTGCATAGCACTGCACAGCAACGTGCTTAGCACAGCGTGGGTAGCGTGTATACGTAGTACAGCGTGGGTAGCCTACACAACAGCGTGTGCAGCATGCACATTGGACAGCACTCTGCTTCTACCGTCATTGGCCGTTCACATTTATGGTCACCTTGTTCCCGCGTACCCACAAATGTCAAGTCAATCGAAAAGTTTGACATTACGTATTCTTCCTTGCTTCATACCGCCTCCCCTGTTGGGCGCTCCATTTATAGTTATTCCCTATTAAAACATATTTTAAATGGAAGAAAGCTTGAATTATGCAGTTTTGTGATGATGGCTCAATGAATCGTTGAACTTGTGCCGAGTGTATAGAAGCAGTGCGTTGGCAAGCGTCATGAACGCACGTACTGCCTATGGCGGTACACCGTGTGCATCCACTTAATTACCGTTGAACCTCTGCTGCTCTATGACGTATCGCCTGATGACATCGTTTTTTATCGATATGAAAGATTATTTCAATTTTAGTTGGTTCAAACTGAAAGCTGTTGTCATTTGGAGTAACTTGTCAAATAGTCTAAACTTTCATACCACTAAGTTTAGACGTTCGAGTTGAACCCTCCTAGCGCATGACCGTGGCTCGATCATGCTGCCTCACAGCGCTGCTGCTTGATGCTGACTGAAGTTCATATTACTTGAACTAAATATCAAATTATAGTAATTTCATTCGATACTAATAATTTTTTTTAGACAAAAAATCTTTCAAATCTTTCTTTCTCTGCCCTGGACGGTTAGATTCAGTTCTAGGCTTTGGTAGTGGTGCATTTCAACCAACGAGCCTCCAAGTGGCGAGAGAGTAGCGACCAATTAAATTAGACATGTGTAGTGTGGTAAAAGATTGATAAGTTTAATTTAATTTAAGACATTTCCACGTTGATTTTAGCAGTTCATTTCTTTCGTGATGTGGCCGTGTATGTTGTTTATGTTCAAATAAAACTTATTTTGTTTCGCTGCTAAGCTATTTTCTTGCAGAACCTTAGCGAGGAGGTGGATGTGAGCGGCCAGCGAAACCCGTCCGATTTTTTACTCTCTCACAGAATGGAGAAGGTGATGTCCTTACCGAAGATAATCCTTGCTATTCTTTGGTGCATTGGAGATTTGGTACATTGGTACCATGTGTTAAACTATTCACTAACGTTCAGCTAAGGCTTTTTGTGTTCCTACAGGTCTTTTAATGCTTGGAGAAATTCCACTTTCTAACCACCTTCCTAGCTCTCTTATTGGTTCCTACTGGGTTTGGAAGCTGTTTTTTTAACGTGCTTCTCGTGGTATGCATGATAAGGTAACAACAGCACACGGGGAGATTTCTCTCTACAGACGAACAAAACCTTGAACTGCTTGAATTTTTCAAGTAATTTATTCAAGAACCTCGAATTTTTATTTGCGCTTGTCTTCTTTCGTGACTGTCTTATTATTGAAGCCTTTGTCTGATGATATCAAATTGTTTTGTTTGCCTTAATGTACACATTTTGGTGTCCTCTTCAACTCCCACATTTCCTCTCGGCTACTCCTTCAGTATTGAAGTCTTGAGCAATAAGGAAGTCTTCTAAGGAACTCTTCTATCACTTCGCTCGCCTCTAGAAGCTTCTGACAGCACTGTAGATATTAACATGATACATACAAGGTTCTGTTAAACATACAACGAATGGAAGTATGTGAAATATGCGAAGGTGGCCGGTGTTGCCAAGTAGCGTGCGGATCAGCTGATTGTAGGTCAAGAATGTATTGCCAACGTCGGCTTCTCACATGGTCATTACGGTGCTCCAAAAAATACTTTCACTGCGCACTCTATATTACCTATGTGCTTGATTTACGTTTCTGAGCATTTTTAATAATCCATCTATGCACTAACTAATGGTAACATTAGAGCACAATAAATTAAAATGAGTGACGTTACACCGCGTCTTATCAAAAACTATGTTATTAAAAATTAACATTTCGCCAGTTCCTTTTGCACAATGCAAAGCACATTAGCCACTTGCGCTCACTATAGTACTTTCTGTTTAAGTGGAAACTCCAGCAAAGATCAGACAGAAAGCGATGACAATAACATTTCTGGTGCACCTGCAGCCGTTACACGCAGAGGCCCTCATGAGTTTAGGAATTCGTAGTCCAAGGTCACGCTGATGCGCCGCCTTCGTAAGGTCGCACATGTGGCGGGTTGGTCGCCTCACACGGCGCCGATAGTCTGTTTCCCGCCCTGGGCCTATACTTTCAATAAAAGTTATGAGATCGTAAGTTCATCACCCAATCATTGATGGCCTTTCAAGCAAAATTCACCAATCATAGACAAGAAAATAGAGCGTAAGTACTTACGTTCACTTAGCGAGTTTTGAAAGTATGGGCCCTGGGCTACACGTAGACCCTCAACACCCTGGGCATAAATAATTTTGTATCCAACTCGTGAATCTCAGGGCACAAGTATCAAGCATTTTTTAAGTAATTCATAACTATGTTAAAACAATAAAAAACTAACTATATTTTCGGCTCTGATGTGACCGTCTAAGCAAAGATTATTGTGCAGGGTGAGCGTCTGAAGGAGGCCACCAAGATCAACTTGTCTCTGTCAGCGCTTGGTAACGTCATCTCTGCCCTCGTGGACGGCAAGAGTTCACACATCCCATACAGAGATTCCAAGCTCACGCGCCTCCTGCAGGGTATGCTTTTACTTTGATGTGATCCCCTTGCTTTTACTTGAATTTGTTCCCGTGCAGTCTAGCTACAAATACAATGTGTTTATTTCGAGCAAAAATAAAAATATTGATGCTTTGAATAAAGCTCTTGTGTTCGGCTATGCGTAGGTCATTAGGTTGTATTAAGTTGTCAGCGACCTCTACCGCTATATTCAATTGATTCTTAACTTCTATTGCGCTCCCGTTACTGGTCACTAAGACTCTCAAGCTTGAAATTTGTTGATCTACATCCTATTTCTGAACGTCTGGCAAACATGTATGTATCTTTTCCTTAAATGGTAACACTCGAACGTGTTATAGTTTAGTTGATGTAATCTTCATAGGTATTCTTAAACTCGCGTACTTATGGCAAGTATTGCTAATGTCTTCTTGTTTAGCCCGCTTCTGGAGCGTTCTAACACAAGAAGCATTTTAGCGTCAGGCACGTTTCAGCTCCAATATATTTTCAGCTAAATAATATTATTTAGCCTTGGGCCCAACTTCCAGCCGTAGTAGTAGCTATCAGCCTTAGTGTCTTGAAGCCTCAATTGCTTCTAATTTCTCAGCCTGTAACCTAAAGTCAATAGCCTCCAGCTTCTTGGCATGTAGCCTCAATTGCCTCTATTTTCTCAGTCAGTAGTCTGAATAGCCTCCAGATTTTGGCGTGAGCGGCCTATGACGCTAACCTCCCCCCTCCTACCCTAACATAAGTACGGTCTTGTAGTCCCAGTCTCTCTCCAAACTGCCCGCAGCACAGGCTACTGGAGAGAACCGAGTTATGAACTACATATTATCAATTTTTTATAATCGTGTCATTTCCTCAGAGATTCTGGTGGTTGATTATCAATAATCAATCCAAATTATTTATTAGATTCGCTTGGCGGGAACTCGAAGACAATAATGGTAGCAAACATCGGGCCAGCGAGCTTCAACTGCGACGAGACGCTGACGACGCTGCGCTACGCCAGCCGCGCCAAGAACATCCACAACAAACCTAAGATCAACCAAGATCCTAAGGATGCCATACTTAGGGAGTACCAGGAGGACATCGCAAGACTCAAGGTGCCTGCCTTCGCTATCTGCTGCCATCCTGATCACAGCTAGCTTTATTGTTATGATTTCTTATCTATCTTATTCTTATCTTATTCTTATCTTATTCTTAGTAATTGAATGCAAGTGTCTGTTTATTACGCAAGTTTCTGTATTATTTAGATTGCAAGTTTCTGTATTATTTGACTTCTTCCTTCATAAATAAGGTCTTCACTGCATAACAACTACCATGTTCTTCTTGCTTATTTTGATTTTGAAATGCAAATGTTGTTGTTTTCTATGTGTCTGGATTATTCCTTCATAATTGATGTTGTCACTGAAAACAATTGACAGTTAAATATGTACTTCTGTCAGCTTACAGCCCTCACAGCAAAACGCCCGCAATATTTCTTTATTCTATTAACACCATGATATTAATTCCTCTTGAAAAAGCGTAGCACTTTTTTGACGAACAGTTTCCTATTATTTATTACCAGTGATTTTGATTTGGATGCCTCTTTGACACGCTGAGTGCGACACGACCTATCAAGGTTTCCATTTGGTCTTTTTTTCAGGACAAGTTCCCCGTGATTTATTTTTTTATAGCGTTGTCCGGCAAAAATTTATGATGGCGGTACTTCCTTATTGTAATTTACAAAGTAAAGTACAATAAGAAGAAAATTGAATTTGTGCACCGCAACTTACAAGTATACCAGTAATTTTTGAAATGTTGGCTTTTTTATCCACGGAATTGGCCTTTTTTCTGGCCATCCGGCAGCCTCTCTAGCCACCGATGGGCCGCACTGCACTCAACGTGTCAAGTGTTCGAGGCACAAACATAACTTTCCAAGAATTACCTGGACTAGTTTACCATTAGGCCTTGGATCAAATGTTAAAGTTGCTGCATGTAGCTTTCCTGTCAGAACTTTAATTTTCTGTGAAGTAAACTAGCAATCAAAAATGATAGCACATGAAAATAATTTGCATACAGCCCTGTTTGTAAGGAAAGGAAGATAACAGAAACCTGATTACTACATTACCCCAACCCCACCTCTATTATATAAAAATATTATATTTTTCCATCAAAATTCTTCTAGACGGCAAACCTCCTATCTATTTTAAAAGAAAAGTTTCATGATTGCGTTCATCCCATTTCAGAAGTTGAGTTTTATTTTTTCCGAATGTCATTCAGAGAAGATGTTTACCTATGTTCCCAGAGGAATTAGTGAAAAGAATTTAGTTTAATCTTATCAAAGATAATAACTTTATACCAGCCCCTAAAGTATGGACTTACTGTGCATTCATTTAGAAGCTTGATTGTTAATTATTTTTATCTAAAAGATATGTGATAAGTCGCTTGCTCTGTGGCGGCAAGAACATCATCGACCACACCAACGAGCAGCAGAGGGAACTGGAGCGCCAAAGAGAGCAGCTTGCTGAGCAGAAGGTAAGCAGAAACATTATCAGCCACACCAACGAGCAGCAGAGGGAGCTGGAGCGCCAGAGAGAGCAGCTCGCTGAGCAGAAGGTGAGCAGAAACATCAGCAGCCACACCAACGAGCAGCAGAGGGACTGGAGCGCCAGAGAGAGCAGCTCGCTGAGCAGAAGGTGAGCAGAAACATTATCAGTCACAACAACAAGCTGCTCAGAGAGCACAAGGTGAGCAGGAACATTATCTACCACACCAACGAGTAGAATTCAGTTGAAGTTTTAGTTGAAATTAAGAAAAGTTCAGAGCTAGCGCTGATGACGTAAAAGTCATTTCCATCCCTACCCAAATCCCGAGAAAATTTCCTTCTCTGCATGTGATTTTGATGTGAAATTGAATTGTTAAAAACTTTTTTAACATAAACACTTGTCTTGACTTATAAAGAATCATTTCGAAATATTAGGACCTATTTTATATTATTAAGACCTATAATTTGATGGCAGCGACGGGAGCGCGAGATGCTGCAACGGCTGGAGAAGGAAGAGGAGAGCTCTGGCGAGATCGCGTCGACGTTCTCATCTCTGCAGCAGGAAGTCGAGGCCAAGACTCAGAAGCTCAAGAAGATGTTCACGCGCCTGCAGAGCGTCAAGCAGGAGATGCTGGACCTGCAGGAGGAGTTCAGCAACGACAGGACCGACATGCAACAAACCCAGGAGGATCTCACCAAGTTCGTATAGATTAGTGATGGATACGTGAGCAACTGCACGAGTTTATTTTCCACGTATCCCTAGTATGTGATGCGGACATCGAGGCAGTCTACATGCGAGAGATCGTTACTGTCTTTTGTTTGGCGTCGTGCACTGAGAAAGTTAATAGGACATTTTGTCCACGTAGAAATTCACTTATTGAACGATTGAACGCAGCACTTATACGCTCTTTTTTTCAAGCCAAAAAGGATCAGGATGACCCAAACAAAAGCAGAAAGTGCATGGCTATTTGGACAAAGTTTCACTCGTCTATCTGAATGCATGGACCCAGCCCGGCCACACCCGCTGTATGGTTGTCTGTCAAGACTGCATTTGTGATCATACACTCAGAGAAATGAGAGAGTCTTTGCCAAGTTGAAATGAAATTTTGCCGTTGTGTGAGTCATCATGACCCAGTTTAAACAGGCTAAAGGACGGATAAGGGCTCCATGCAGAATGTGTCACTATTGCAACAATATGACGCATTCATTGTTTTGAGTAGCACTCTTGAGACCAAGTAGCATGATCTTCATTGAAGCTTTTCCTACAATTCAAAATGCCTTGCATTACAATAATGCTTTCACTGTCGCTTTCTGGCGGTGCCTAACTTGGCTACGATATTAGGTGGCCACGGCATTTATCTTTCAGATAAATGGGTAGGTATTAGTGTGGGAATAAATGGTTAGGTTTTAGTGTGGGAATAAATGGGTAGGTATTAGTGTGGGAATAAATGGGTAGGTGTTAGTGTGGGAATAAATGGGTAGGTATTAGTGTGGGAATAAATGTGTAGGTATTAGTGTGGGAATAAATGGGTAGGTATTAGAGTGGGAATAAATGGGTAGGTATTAGTGTGGGAATAAATGGGTAGGTATTAGTGTGGGAATAAACGGGTTGGTATTCGTGTGGTAATCAGGATGGGAACTGAAGCGCGAAAAGCGCATGGTTATTTGGAAGAAGTATCAATCATTCTTCTAAGTTGACTTATGGATTACAGGGATTATGGATTATATGGATTATGCTTGTATTACAGGGAACTAAAGCTGAAGATGCTCATCATAGAGAACTTCATCCCGCCCGAGGAGAAGGAGAAGATCATCAACAGAGCTTACTTCGACGAAGACGAAGATGTCTGGAAGGTGAGAGTCTTGGCCAGCTTTTCATATTTACTCTGATTATTATTACGCTGCTGGACTTTCTACTCTCAAAGAATGTGTCTAAATAACAACGCACTTTTAGCACTTTAGTGGGTCAACCTGCCCGTGTTTGGCCGGCCTTTTACACGTTAAGTGTGGCTATGTCGTATTCAGGTCATATTCATACCGGTGGTATGAGCCACCGGTGGGTCGTGCGGCACTTAACGTGTTAAGGATTGAAGGACAGAAATGTCCTTCATAATGGGCTCTTGGACGCCCCATCAATTATGTTCTTTGCGTGTGTTATTGTAAATAATCAGAAGTTCTTGAAAACTCTCGGCTGTTCTTTGTGATTGCATTCACTAAGGCAATATCTGTACAAACTTTTATTTTATTTTTTTTTAATTTCGCCACAATGAGAAGATTCTTGCCTTGTTAATTGCAATTAAACGCTGGTTTACAACTTATTTTAGTTAAAGCGATTGATTGGAATAAGAATTACTATTCTCAGTTTTTTAAGTGGACAAATTATGTTGGAATAGTCGCTAAATTTTTCATTGGTGGTCATAAATTTCTAGTATATATAATTACGATAANGTATCAGTATTTTAGCGTGGCTCAGCACGCCTGCTTCGGTGTCACGAGTTCTACAAGCGAGGTGTGCAGGTATGTGCGAGGCGGTCACAATGTGGCGGTCGAGGCGTCGTTTTTGAGCTTGCTGTGTGTGGGTATCGTGACTCATCTAACTCAGGGTCTATACTTTCAAAAAAAGTTAAGAGATCGTAAGTTCATCAGCCAATCATTGACGGCCTAACAAGCAAAATCCACCAATAATAGACAAGAAAATAGAGCGTAAGTACTTACGTTCACTTAACGAGTTTTGAAAGTATGGCCCCTGGTTGATAAATGAGTACCTGGCTTGTCCAGGGTGTTGTGTAATGCAATCAAATGGTTCTGGTGGGTCAGCGAGCCAGTGATGGTCGTAGAACTACCAGTGGCACCATGGAAGTGCCCTGAAAAACTGACCTAGCACCCCCCCCTCCCTAGTCGCCACTACCAAGATGGGCAATTACAACAACAACCGCTTGATGCTGATGAACTAAATAACAAATTATAGTAATTGCATTCGATACAAATAAAAATATTTTGTTCCGAGACAAAAAATATTTCAGATGAGTATTGTTTTACTTTTCATTTGAGGTTACTTGCAGTGCGAGAAGTTTTCTCTCTGCCCTGGACGATTACCTAGATTTAGTTCGAGGCTCTGGTAGTGCATTTCATCCACCGCACCTCTAAGCGGCGAGAGAGTAGCCACCAATCATATGCGACATGTGTAGTGTAGTAAAAGATTGATAAGTTTAATGTAATATAAGACATTTCCATGTTGATTTTAGCTGTTCATTTCTTTCCTGATGTGGCCGTGTATGTTGTTTATGTTAAAATAATACTTCTTCAGTTTCGCTGCTAAACTATTTTCTTGCAGAACCTTAGTGAGGAGGTGGATGTGAGCGGCCAGCGAAACCCGTCCGATTTTTT